ATCGCTGTCTGGTATGGCAGCACTACTGCTATGGACCGCAAGCGCCTGCAGAGAGTGGTAAAGACTGTCGAGAAGATCACCAGGACTCCACTGCCTTTTCTGTAGAGCATTTACCACTGCAGGGTGCGTAGGAAATCTGCCTCCATTCTCAAAGACCCCAACCTACCCTCTGGCTGGACCTCTACACTGAAAAACTCTTTCTTTCCCTCTGCCATCAGACTCCTAAACAGTTGATGGGAGTTTATTATCAGGAAATACATCATGTACTGTCAACCTGTACTGTTTACATTCTCAGTTTGTACATGTATAATTGCACATTGACTATTGACTGCTGCACATGCTGCTCCCATACAGCACACATTCTCTTATTATATTCTTATATATTTTTATTATATTGCTGCATTTTCTGCTTAAAGTGCTTTAGATTTCGTGTTACTTATTTATCTACTTTATATTTCATTTGTATTTTGTGGCATTCATGTGGATGGCAAAGTAAGAATTTCACTGTACAGGGAAACACGTTTCCTAACTGTGCATATGACAAATAAACACTTTGACATTTGACCTTGTATGTACATATAAATAAATTAAAAGCTAAAATGTTTATCAGATTTTTATTTATAGCATTGACGGTGTTAGTTTCTTCAAAAATTATAACAAATTAAAAGTCATTTATGGTACCACAGTTTGATCAGTCAGCCAAGTCACATGCTGACAAAAAGGCTTTTCCAAATGGATTATAGTGAATTATAATTGCAAGAAGGAAGTGACACATAAATCAATCCCAGTAAGTCTGTCTGCCATGGCACTTCTCCACCACCACCCTCGTCAGATCACTCGGAGCAATACACTGATCTACCGGGCCTCCTCTGATCTCATCCACGAAGGAGACAACACTTTCATATTATTACCCTGTCATCTCACAATGTGGCATTTTCCTCTGAAGCTACTGTAGCATTGTTGCAGTTGCTCAGATGTGAAACTCTAGGTTTTATTGTTCTGTTTTGGGAAAGGATGAAAATAATGAGAGATAAAGGAAGTGATTTCTTTTTAACTTAGACCAGGGGTGCCCAAAGTGGGGCCCGCGGGCCAAGCTTGGCCCCCCACAATTTATTATGCCACCCCAGTTGTCAGGTCAAGCAGCTCCCAGCTCAGCTCGCGACCCGCCATTAAAGCAAGGAGAAGAAGAAGAAGAAGAAGAAGAAGAAGAAGAAGAACAACAACAACAACAACAACAACAACAACAACAACAACAACAACAACAACAACAACAACAACAACAACAACAACAACAACAACAACAGCACGAAGAACGGAGCAGTAGCAAGCAACATGGAGAGCAGTAGACAGTGGCACACAGACAAAAGG